TAGAATATTATATATTAAAGGAGTAGAGATAAGGAAAATATTTGCTAAGTAACGACTCTAAAACATTTGATATAGTCCCGAAATGTTTTCATGATTTAGAGACAAAATCATTCTCTGATGACTGCGCACCCGAATGATTTCAGGCGTCTGACGAGGCAGAAATATTCCTGTAAATAGTCTCAATTGCGCCAACTAAATAAAGGGACGAGTTGAGTTGGTGTTTAGTAGATGATTCCGATTTGCCCTGCCAGATCTTAGAATGTCTGGTCTTTCGTCTGCTCAGCCTTCATGACATTCATACCCCAAGGTACCGCAACGTCTGTGAGGATCGCGTCATACCTACACTTGTGCACAAGTGTGATGTCAAATATTATGGCAAATGCAACCCAAGTGCTTGTCAATCAAGATGATCTTACCTACATGGGCTACATTTACGCTACTGACGGTGGTGAATGCTTGTAGCAATTCGCTGCACATATTTATGCAAAACCCACAATGAATTGTCAAGGCTACTTTGACATGACGTTTTCTATATTCTTTTTGTGCCAGCTGAGTTCAGCCATATTGTTTTGCACATTATTATTATTATTATTATTATTATTATTATATATCGCACTTTTACGTGATCTCACCAGATGTCTGTTGCTTTTCATTGGAGTGACATCACCTTCTTCAGTATTCCCGCAGATCTCAGTACAACGATCTAATATTTAACCGACATCTAAAACTTTTAGTCTCAATTCTAGTTATTTATAGGAATCTTTTCAAATGTGACATCTGTTCGATTCCTTCATGTTCACCCTTTTCTCCTGTCTCGGGCAATTCCCTGGTATTTTGTGAAAGGTTTTATTTTACAGTTTTTTTTTTTTTTTTTTTTTTTTTTTTTTGTTTTGTTTTTCAGAACTATAGACACGATTTGTTTGCTTCTATTTTTTAAGATTATGAAAGCTGATTTTCTAACTAGGAGGAAATATTTGGTTTCAATTTCAAAATCCCCGTTAGCTTCCTGTTTCAACTCAATCGATCGAAGAGCTGTTGTTTGCCTAGTTCCCAGAAAATTCCTCCTCTAACTTGGTATTCTTAGCCCTTTTAAGCCATCTCACTGCATTCGCTTATGAATGTCCTTCTGTAAACATGGACACCTTGTGATTTTATATATTTTTGTTTTGATCTATTTATTTAAGTTCCTATTTGGTGTTGTGCCGATAAAGTATCTATATTCATGTTGGATTATAAAAACTGCAAAGATTTCCGTAACATTTTGATAATGGTGAATTATTTTTTGTAATTAGTTTCATTAATTTGAATTCAGTGAACACATATAGAGGGATTATGTTCTTGGCATTCCTGAAGTTTATTTTCAGAGGTCTGCGTTTATATATTATTTTTAATTTTCAATGGGAAATATTTCAATGAAGTTCAATGAAATTTTACAAACTCAGCTTTTTTGCCGACGAAGTTGTCGGCAGGAATTTTGATAAAAATTACACTGACGTTGATGGTAGCCATTTAACACGTGATGTTTAAAAATTAAAATTTCTCTTTGTTAGAAAATTAATTTTAGTTTCGAAACGAGATTCTTTCTTTCTTCTTTTTCTTCGTTTCATTATAAGAAACACATCTAGAACATATTTTAATTTTATTCATTCGTATTAATTTTAATTAAATTTAAATTTAAAGAACTTAAAATAGTTTTCTTATCATGAACTATTTCTTCTTCATTTAATTACTTCTTTCTTTCTTTTTTATTTACTTATATATTTATTTATTTAAATATTTATATAATTACATACTCGACCCTTTTTAATCAGTACCGACGCTTATTTACTAATTATATTTACTTTCTTTCCTTCTTTCTTTCTTAATTTGTATTTGCCATCTGAGAAAATTAGTTTTTATGTCTATATCTTTCGTTATCTATTTCTAAAACTGGCAGATTACTGCATAATTCAACAATCTTTGCAAAACATTATTTTATAATATTTTTTGTAAAGATAATTTTCATTATAATTTTTGCTAGAGCATTTGTTCCCGATCGATTTTGTGCCATGCAACACTTTGGTATTTCTAAAATTCTGGCACCCCTGCTATAATATTTAATTCTTACATATTCAAACTTGCACTGCAATTCAAGTAAAGAATGCTTAAAAGCCATTAACTTGGTCTCTAAACAAGACTCTAAAGACCATGGTGTCCATAAAAGAGAAAAATTAAAAAAAAAAAGAAAAAACAAAAAAAAAAAAAACAGCTAAATATATATAGATTCAAAACATAATACAGAACTAAAATGTAGAAATATAAAATATTTCATTGAAAGCTGATTCTGTAATTTACTTTGATCATTTTTACCATGAAATAATGCAAAATGAAATTTGAGCGCACGTTGGTATAGTAAGCCGAAGGGTGAGCATCCTATGTATGCCTCACCAAAATATTACCATGTTCCACGTTGGGAATCTTAGCGCTAGAGTAACATTTTTGAAACAAGCTTGATACTGTCATTCATTCGATCTTGTTATCGTGATATTTGCCAGAAACGTCACAAATTAACTTGATTGAAATATGCATATACACATCAACCTGTATGAGATTTTATCAATTTAAAATATTTTCAAATCAGTGACTATAATGTAATAAACTGGCTTGAACTGCTAACAGACCAGACATCTTAAATGCTGGTGTTTCTAGGTCCACCCAGACCCGGGTCACCTTTTATACGCAAACAGTTAACCCCGAAACTGAGGTAAAAAGCATTATAAAAGTATAAAAATAGGTTTTAATACCAGAAATACTTTCTAATCAATTATTACCAGAAATAAATTTTTGAAAAAAAAACTATTATCAGCAATATGTTTTTGAAGAAAAAGAATACAAAAAACTATTACCAGCAATATATCTGGAAACAAAAACAAACTATCACCAGCAATATATATTTGAAAAAAAAAACTTTACCAGAAATATATTTTTGAAAAAAATATTACCAGCAATACGATTTTGGAAAAAAATATTACCAGCAATACATCTTTTAAAATAATATTACCAGCTATACATTTTTGAGAAAAAAAATATTACCAGAAATATATTTTTGCCAAAGCAAAATATTACCAGAAAAAAAAAGTTGTCGGCATTAAATAAGCCATTGAGGTTGATATGCCGTAAAACACAACAAACCAAACCAAATCACTCATGGACCTTCTGTTTCATCCATTCTAGGAAGACAACTCTATATTCTAAATCGTTTAGAAGCGAATAGGAAACTACTCAATTCTATTTACCAATGTTGTCATGGCAATGGATATTAAAAGAAATTGAAGAAATGTAGAAAAATGATCGCTTACGTCCTGAAAGAACATGACATTTAAATTTTGTATATTAGGCAGTATTATTGTTCCACAGCCATTAGATAATGAGTCTGGAAGAGAATATAAAGAACAATAATTCTCCGAGATTTGATGTCACATCGCTTTTCTTTGGAGAGTTTAGTTCATTATGAAAAATATTTTAGTATCTTGTCTAGTGAGACACTCTTTTGAAAGCCAGATAGTAATTGCCCGATAGCTACTATCTGTTGTTTGCTTAATATGCTTAATAGACAAAATACAAGAATTATATGAATTTTTCTACGCAATTGCAAGCTGAAGTTGTTTATTATTATCAGTTTTGATTATGATAACTCTCAAGGCGTTATTCCTCACGCTTTGAATATTTAAAACACGCCAGAGATCTTGGCATTTATTTTCGATCGATACGTAACGACGGTAAAATAAACATTTCAATGTTGCAATAAGACAGTGAAATGGGATGAAAGAAAATAAGTCAATAATTAATAATAGCCCATACTGCAGCCACTGTAGAATTGGTCTGTCTTCTGATAGAGCCCAATCCTCTTCAGGCTGGAATTTAAAATTTTCATTCTCTTAGACTGGTTACATAAACAAGGCTATAAATCCCTGTCGCTTCTGATACTTAAGGGTAGAGATAGATTCATACCTTTGCCAAAGGTTATTACCATGGAAATTAATGTAATGAATTCAATTGTAATTCGAACTTGGCTGGAATTTGAACTCTGCTCTCCGATTCCCCAATTCAAGCCGCAATTCTTTAGTCCACAGGGCCTGCTTAAACACGGTTTGTGAAATTAAAATTTAGCTTTGCACCAAAATGCTTAACTCATTTTTTTGCCAGATTTCTATTTAATCCCCTCTCTGATTTTATCCTTGGGAGTTTGTTTTTTTTTTTTTTTAGATACACACGTACGTGTTATGGGATGAGAACAACGTAGGAAAACTGATAATTATTAAGTCATTCGTTGCAAAGGAAATTAAAAATAATTGGGTTTAAGAATGAAAAGTAGAGCGAATATATTGTTGTCCCAAAAAGAAGAGCCCACAATGTGAAATACAAAATACAGATGCCGAAATTAAGCACGAACAATAATTTAAAAATCTAAGAATTTTTTTTTTAACTAGGGGAGAGAGAAATGTAACAACGAAATCAGAAAGTGTATTGGGATTGCGAAAAATGCCTTCCAAATGCTAAGCGAAATATTAAGAAACTGGAAAATATCGTTAGATACAAAGAGTATTTAAATGTTATTTAAAATCAGTCTTCCTATATGGTCGTGCATACTGGAAAATCTCATCACAGAAGAAGAAACTTAAGGCCAGATAAACGCGGTTCAATAGAGCGATGCTGAGAATATCATAAACTGAACATATGACGTTTTAGAAGAAAACGGAAACAAAACGAACACATATACTTACCATTAGAAAGAGACAGTTTACATTTCTAGGACACATAATGAGGAAAAAGAGATTAGAAAACTTGACAGCCATATTGAAGGCAAGAAAAAGTAAAGTTGCTCATAACCAACCTAACGGTCTTTTGTAAATATTTGACGGAACAGGGATTAGGAGAGACATTGAAAAAAAAAATGTATCAAGGGCTACAAAGAATAGAACATTGTGGAGAGCTATGATCCCCACATTCTGAACGGGCACGGAAACAAAGAAGAAGAAGAAGAAGGTAAATATTTTAAAAAAAGAAAGAGATTTACCTGACTGTTGTATTTCAAGAAAAGGACACTTACCTGCAAAAAGAAAAAAATATAATCGTTGTTAAAACAATAGAGATTATAGTGAATTTTGTATTTATATATTATAAATTCAAATACATATATATTTTTTTTATCTACGATTCTAAAGGTTTCTGAATAGACCAAGTAGGAAGACAAATACATATTTTACATAATTACGTACTACAGTAATTAATTACAGTTTATAACGATTAACACACCAGGTATCCTCTGTTCTAATTTTAACTGAAACTTGCCGCAGAAAGGTGCTTTCAATGCGAAGTTAGTACCTTGCATCGTCTGCTTTACTAAATAGAAAAAAGAAAATGTAAATATTTAAAAGCAGTATTTCAAAATTATCTGTCTGGCTTCAGTTTAAGCTGACAGATTTGTCATTTATTGTAACCATTTTGTTTAACATTCGCATTTTCTTAACCTCAGGTAAAAACACAATAATGATAGTCTGAATTCTTGAAGCTATATACATAAAGCAGTTGAAACCTAACCTGAACAAAATAAACTACGAAATGTCCACAAATATTCTTAAATGCCTATAATTGATAACAGAAGCTATTGGTTTATATCAACACCTTCCCATACTTTCACTCTCGCGTGGTCATGTGTGACGTCAGGAGCTGCCACACACTATTCGCTTCCGCGTCTCGTATACACGAGTTACTCGTTGCTTTCATGCAACAAAAACAGTCTATCATTATTGTTTCGTCCGAGTATTGGTTGATATATTGAAAAGTAATTGTAATCTTTGATAATGGCATATGTAAGCCGAAAGCTTAGATTGCATTTAAAAATGTATCAATATGGTGATTTCCTTCGTCTTTCAATGATAATGTTATTAAGCTTCTCAGACAATATGAAAGGAAACTTACTTAAAATAAAGAGACAAAACTATATTATTTAATGAAACATGCATTAATGAAAATTGCTGCCTAAATTTACACAATATATATATATATATATATATATATATATATATATATATATATATATATATATATATATATATATATATATATATATATATAATATAAAGTATACTGGGATTTAATCATCTTAAATATCGAGGTCATGTATAGAAAAACGTTATGAATTCATAATAAACACGCCTGATGAAATGTTAATGCTAATGAAAATATTACCCTTTTCCTTATATGGAAATAATCCTCAGCCAGTGGAAGAATCGTTTGACATTTATAAAATGTCTCTTTTTCAGAAGAATTTTTTTCTCAAGTCGATTAACTGTTATCACACTTTCTCTTATTGATGGAAGCTTACTTCTATTTGAAGTAGTGTAGAATATCAACATCGTCATTATGTCATTATTTTCTCTTCAAGGAACATGTGATATGCGTTTTTGTTGCTGCTCTCGAAATGTCTCAACTGATGTGTTTTCTGTTATTTAGGACAGATATTTCTGATTATGTTATGCTAGTCAGCTTGGTACGAAGTACTATGATCGTCGATAAAATCTAAATCGTTCATTCGCTAAAAGTTAAATTTAATTATTGATCTCAGAAAGCGTTTGGATACAGCTGACAATTTATATATTTCTAAACGTTTCTGACGCCATGACCGACCTCCACATGAAAGTCTCGATCTAACAAGGCTACGTGACCCGATTTCTTTGTTTAACGTGTTGCTATTATAGCAACTTGTCGTGTTGGGCAAATCTTTGAGCAAAGCCTACGTTCAGTTTCCTTATCTCTTATAGTAAATTATGTATAACTGATCCAGATGCCGCGGTATTTACAGTGTTTACTATTTATTAATTAGAAATCCTGAATATTTAAGGGATAAAATATTCTTGTCATCCTAACATCTACGAAAATCATGATCAAGAAACAAATACTGAATATTGATTAATTTTAGCTGTATATCTTACTGTCCAGAGATGACTACAAATTAGCATGGGCTTTTTCTCATATCTGCATTTTTTTAGAAATAAATATATCAAATCTTTATTTTGTATTGAATTAAATTTTTCGGCTCAACATCTTGAAGCATTTATTGTTGATTTTTCAGAAAATTGATATTAGCCATGATCTTTGTAATTATTTGACGTCCTTATTATTCAAATAGTTCTGAGCACAATTTTAAAGGAACAAAGTTATGTCACAATAGGACATTTTAGAATAGTGATATTACGCTCAATTTGAAAGTTATGGTTTCACATTGTAAATAATGATACAGCATATTTTTTCCAAATCTTTACCGTTCTTTGAGAAAACAAGTTTAAACACTAGGTTTAGGTTCAAAATCGTAGCGTTAGAATTTCATTCTCGTGAACGGTGAAATGTTTAGAGGACAGCATTATAAAATGTGTTTCTTGAAACTTTGCAGATAGTATATGAACAAAATTCACGGAGCAAGCATTGTGATTATTCAGAACTAGAATTCTTGTTTGAATATAATTTCCATTCAATCTGCCTAATACGATGATATCAACTTGCTTTGGATTTATTCTTAAAATAGTAAAATGTTGAAGTTAGATTTTAAGCAAAAACCTGCGAAAATTAGGTATTGCTGGACATTGTTTAGACAGATTTACAACTAAATGCTCAACAATTGGTGAAAGCTCTGAATCTGGTTGCTGGTGTCAGTACTAAGCACATGAAACACCAGCTTCCACACCGAGTGCTATGTTGATTTTCTAAAAAATAATCAAAAATCAACCTGCGTTAATGTAGCTGTCCTGCTGGTCACATGTTTCACTGCAGGTGAAAAAAGTATATTTTCATGATGTTTTGATTTTTAAAAATGTTAATGCTTAAAAAAGAGTTCCAACCTCCTCTCTAATAATCGACTTAATTTCATGATCTCAATTCAGTTCCTCTACAACTATTCCAAAATTCGAAAAGTTCCGAATTCCAAAAGGTATCTGGTCTCCAAGATATTTTATTTTTCTCTTTTAATAAAATCTCATCTCAGGACGTAGGTTATCGAGTCTTTCTACATATCTAACTACTATACATACATATATATATATATATATATATATATATATATATATATATATATATATATATATATATATATATATATATATGTAAAAAAAAAGACAACTTTAAGGTTCCATTATAATAATTTATTTCACCAGAGCCATTTTAAAGGACTCTGGATCATCAGATTGCACTTCCAAAAGATGAAACGAAACGAAATGAAACATATATATATATATATATATATATATATATATATATATATATATATATATATCGCTGACATGAGGTATTATAATTACTCACAGTACTTACAGTATTCGGACTGTTATCCTCATCTCCATTGCTATATTCACAACGTTTTATTCTATGTGAATTGCTATACATTTTTCGGGGGAAAAACTACAGAGTGGGTTTCTATTGCTTTCTGCAGGGATTTGAAATCAAGTTTGTTTTTCTTCATGAATGGATGCTGCATAATGATGAAAAAAATTGTCTACGGTGCTATTTCCTCGGAGCTTGGAGCAAAATTAAGTGTGATGTATTCTTGCTTTTCGTAAGGACATTAATATGAAGTGAATTCAGCAAACTTTCTTGGAATTTGAACGCTTTTCTCCTGTTCCACTTTCCAGGCTGGTAACATTTACTCTACTATCGAAGTATTACATATCTTTTCATTTCTCAGGATAATTCACGTGGATCTTATTCAGAATGAGAACATATATTTGCCGTTCGCTGGATGGTAGAATGGTTGGAAGAAATGGGTTGGCCAATAATCTGATATGATTAGTTAGGCTAAACTTTCCGTGTAAAGATATATCAAAACAACTTTCTAAACAAAAGCTATATATCATCTACAATGAAATCTTTCAAAACACAAATAATACGTAAAGACAGATTTATGATTCAAAATTTGTGCAATCGTTTCTTCCATAGATTATAAAGACTGACATTTTTACCGGATTACTCCTACCGACACATTCTTGACACTTGGGTTTCAAATAGACAGGGTTTTTTTTAATAAAAATTGTTCAAAATTTGATCATAATAGAACTGTACGTTCAATGCTCCCGGCTCCTTGCTTCAAAGTCAATTTTGATCATTAAAAATTTAAATGCAATGCCAAACTTTATCTTTTGTCTTTTTAATTGCTGTTCTTATATTGTTCTCTCCTCAATAGTGATTGTTTTCTCATATTCTCTAAAACTTATTAAACCCTTGAATCTTAGTGGCTTTATTGCCTTATATGGAGTGGAATGAACAAAATAAATAAATTTGTGCTAAGATCGACAAACTCCTTTAATAAAAAAAATAAGACAGTTATATAATGAAACCAGCAGAAATGTTGCCTTGTGTCTAACGCATAGACAATCATTTCGAGAAAACAAATTCTGGAGATATTGCCTTTCACCGCGGGTGAGGTTTTTCCTGAAATCAAGTATCGGTGGCGGGAGAAGATCAATCATTAAGAGAGCTTTTTAGTGAATTACGGTTACGTGGTCGGCACCATTCATCATTACCAAAATTGGAAGATATTTACTCAGGCATGAAGAACGGGAAAAGGTAGACAGAGATGAAGAGAGGGAAAAAATGGTACGTGGAGGGAGAGAAAACTGATTGCTTTTTGCAGCGTTTTGTCTGTAGCATCGGGGTGTGGGGTAGAGGGCGGGTATGAAGTCGCTTGTTGCACAGTATGCCTGACATGACATCCCAAATTCACGAGCACCCGTAACAACAACAACAACAAAAACAAAATAAATAAATAAATAATAGGTATATCTCTAGGATTTGGGGGTGGGGAGACGGAGGGTCGGGCACTGGGTAGGAACGCCCGATGTTTTCTGCAGCTAATGACATTTGTCCGACAAATGCATCTAGAGATTTATTTTTACCATTCTTAGCAGAATCCAATATATCTTTGTCCACGTCACTGTATACACGAAAAAAAAATACAAGATCCACAATTCATCCTCTCTTTTGCCATGTCTCGTTCTTTCTACAACTAATACTCTCTCTCACACACACAAATATATATATATATATACACACACATACATATACTCATATATATATATATATATATATATATATATATATATATATATATATATATATATATATATATATAGATAGATAGATAATATTAGTGGAAAATATACATACATATGCAAAATATATAAATACCCATACATATATATTTTTAGAATAAAAATTCCAAGAGGAAGAATCCAGGTAGAACTCAATGTCTAGGACAGATTAAAGGATATAATAAAAAGGCTTAAACACTAATATTCCATGGTCATAATTTATTCGATGTGTGTATGTGTGTATATATATATATATATATATATACAAACATACCCATAATTTTGTATGTATGTATGTATATATATATATATATATATATATATATATATATATATATATATATGGGTATGTGCATGTGTGCATGTGTATGCGTGTATATGTATGTGAAAAGTGTGTGTATATGGATATAGATGAATATGTGTATGTGTGGATATGTGAATATATTTTTATATTTTTATATGTGTGTACATGGGTATATGTATGTGTGCATGTGGGTACACGCCTATGTGTATGTATATACATGTATATGTTATTGTTTGTATTCGCATGTGTTTTTGAACATAGAAATATAGGTCCTTGCTGGATTAGATAATCGTTATATTTATCTTTATATATTTATTTGATTTGTAACCTGTAGTCGATATTAAATTTGTCAAATCTTGTCAATTACAAAGCGGCCCTTTAAGTAAACGCAATTTTACTTTCCTTCGTCCCATCTCTCTCCCCCACCTCGTCTTTCCCTCCCTCTTATTCTAACATTTGATTGTCTATGGTGTGTGTATGTCACCACGAAATGCATCTTTATGCATTAGACATCCGACAACATTCATTTTTCACTTACTTAAACACCTTCCACCCATCTCTCCTAAAATTTTCCTGTTAAGGTTTAATCTCCCTCCTCCTCCTCATACTTACACTCTCTCTAAATTCTGTTTTTATTTCCGGAGTTGTTTTTTTTCTGTTTTCTTTTTGAATTTGTAGGTCTGATGAATTGGATCGTATTTACGATTCCAATGGAATAAATTATGACCATGGAATATTAGTGTTTAAGCCTTTTTTTATATATATATATATATATATATATATATATATATATATATATATATATATATATATATGCTGCAGCATCCAAGATGCACCAACGGTAAAGTCAACTAACTATAAATGAATTGTGATTTAAGTACCATAAATTTGTATTAAATTGAAAACACATGAAACATCAACGCACACATACATACATGCATACATTCTCTTGCACACATAATACACACATATATATAAATTCACACACACACAGAGACACACATATATATATTTGCATGTGTGTGTGTGTGTTTGTGTTACTAAAAAGGATTTGGTGTTAGTCGATCACAAACTGAAGATGAAAGCATTGTCAGAGATGGCGTATGTCAGCGAATGGAAATGGTTTGGGGCGAATGAAAACTTTAATTCTTAGAGAGGACTATATTCAAACCTTACGGTATAGCACGACAGAATTACAAAGAACTATGCAAGATAACACAAACCACATCATTTGAAGATTTTCAACAGCAGGAACTATAATGGATAATACATATAACTAGAAGAGTGAAAAATGGTATAAAGATAATGACCCAAAATAAAAGGTAATAAATGAAGCGTTCATCAATATAATACTCTATAATACGAGTTAGAGGACATCATAAAACTATTTACCTCAAAAACAATATTAGAAGAAATATTTTATCAATTTCAGATGAGAGCGATTCTGGCTACTCGTTCAATATATACCGAATGTTTCCTTTTATTACAATTATCAATGATTTTTAACACGACTTATAAATAATTAACTATTGGACTCCAGCAAGAATAATCGTGTATACACGTACAAATAGTCGGATAATGGTAGCTTAGAGGTAAAAGTTCTGGCTAACATCAAATCGATGGGGTTTCAATCTTGGTTTGAGGCATTTGGATATCTAGTCATACTGAAGTGCAGTCATACGGCGAAGCAGTACTTTCTGCGAATAACATATATATGCTTATTTTGGGGGCTCACCGAGTTCCATCTTACTGTTCCTTCCAGTCATTGACTGAAATATCGTAAATCAAACGTTATCTTTCGAACATTTGATATTTGTTTTTAATTTTAAGCACGTCTGAGATGCTTAAATTAAAAATAAATATCAAATGTTCGGAAGATAACGTTTGATTTACGACATTTCAGACATTGACTGGAAGGATCAGTAAGTTAGCGCTCGATGAGATCCTCTCTCTCTCTTTCTCTCTCTCTCTCTCTCTATATATATATATATATATATATATATATATATATATATAGTCATCCACATATGATCCTGTTTCACTGTATTACAGCTCATCAGTGCAGCTAGACATGCGGTTGCTTCAAGCCTGGATGTGTGTGCGCGCGTATGTGTGTATCACTTTATAAAATATTATAATACATTTGCAAATAGATAAACAGACATATAGAGCACTGTATATGTAAACAACCAAAAACTTGACCCTTGTTTGAATGGCGTTAACCCAAATTGAATTACATGACAAGTAATATGATCAGTTCGAAATCAGGAACCTCCGAAAACACAAACAACCTACTTGAGTCACAAATAAGTGAAGAAGCTTACACGGCCGCGCAGAAGACAAAATGTTGGCAGGTACATTAAAAAAAAAAACACGTCACCAAACAAATAAGCCCCGGGAGACGATAAATAAGTAATGCGATGACTAAGACGGAAAGAAGCAAAATAAAAAAAAAAATATAGTGACTGAATATATTCTTATATATTTATACGCGTGCATGCTTATATATATATATATATATATATATATATATATATATATATATATATATATATATATATATAGAAACCCATTGGGAAATGAATGGGAACAGGTAAATAAAGGAAAAAATGATGAATTATCGACAGAATGAGAAAGAAAATTTGCAATGTGAATAAGACAGATAAAAAACAAAGTAACTAAAGAGATATAAATAAATCAATAGAAAGAAAGAAAGAAAGAAAGAAAGAAAAAGAAAAAATATACAAAAGATAAAGAGGTGATAAATCGCGAGGGTGATTGATAAGATCAGAAAATATTACAGAAATATATTGAAAAGAATAGAAAGAAAGAAAGAAAGAAAGAAAGAGTTAAATGAAAAGGACGAAAGAAAGAATGGTAGGAAATAAAGGGGCGAAAAACAGAAAGAAAGAAAGGGACTCGAGAAAGAACGAAAGAAAAAAAGAAAGAAGAAAAGAAAGAACTCGAAAAGTAAAATCGACCCATTCAAGAAGTAATTTTTAAATATAAAAGAAAAATGGGACGAAAGAAAGAAAAATCAAGAAAGAAAAATGAATGAATGATTTAATGAAAGAATGAGTAAATGAAAGAGTAAGAAAGTGAAAAGAAATAAAGCAGTCAGTTCTACTCGAATTACAATATTCTTCACTCCCTCACCATCGGGCTGGCATCAAAATTAAACATTATTCTCCCTATCTTTGATCGTAAAATTCGCCGTTAAGTTATAAGGAAAAAATTGGTTTACATTGACCGAGTACTACTCCCGGTTGAAATTTTTAGAATCTTTTTGTCTAAATTTCAAGAAAATATGTTTATCAAGTCTAGTAGCTGTTATCACTTTTTTCAGTATTCACAGGGGGGTGATTCCTTCCTAACCTTTTATTTAAGTAAGGTGCAATGTCAACATCCTGAATTATGTCATAATTTTCGCTTCGTGTTAAATGTGATATCCATTTTCGCTGTTGATGTTTTTGAAAATCATCCAATGATGTGTTTTGTGATACCTGAGTTCTTTCTTTGTGATTATGTAGCGCCAGACCAAGAGGTTCAAAGAAGGATGGTCATCATCACGATCGAAACGCTTCACACGACATTTTAATTATTGATCGTACAAAGTGGTTTGTACAGCTAAGAGTAAATATTTTGAACAGTTTTCACGCCATGCATTATATCCATATAAAGGTCTCGATCGGACGAGATATATATAGTAAGTTCTCTTTATTTCTTTTCGGGCTATTTTAAGTCATATGTACTTACACATATTCGATTTTTAGGAACGTTATTTCATCATATTTTACACCTTCTCCTTTATACCTACTTCTCCGATTACTTTCATTATCTTTTCTAACTGGTTTATTGTTATCAACTTTGTCTAGAATCTTTTCTGCAACACACTCGGAAAAAAGTAACGTTTTGAATCATTTTTCGAAAAACCTTTTTTTCTCTTTTAATCCAATCGTTTTTTTTTTCTACTTTATTTCGAAAATATTTTAACAATTTACATATTGAGAATTGAGAATGTGTGGATTTTGTCTTTTTGACTGTAAATCCCAGGAACATTTTGACGTTTCCATAACCAAAACACAGAATATGAAAAAAAATATTCGGCCCCAGATACACGAATGATAGAAGACCTATCATTCCGTGTTTTCCTTGGATTAAGGTCAAAGATGGATTATCTTCTTGCACTAAACATGACCGGCTTTCGAAGTCCAATGCAGATATTCAAACCAATACAGCTAATCAAAATTATTTATTAATCCCAAACGGATTATAATCAAGCATTCTTTTTTGAGAGACATAAAGTTGTATTATATTT